TTCCGGAAATAATTGCAATTTTTTTTAAGCATTCCATGATTAACTAGGTTATTTCAAAATCGTTCTAAAATAGAATGCAAGGGTCCTTCAAGATTCTCAAAAACAACAGTGGTTACTACGATCCTTTCAAATTCTATTGAAAATAAAACATTAAAAGCCCCAAGATTCTGCAATCTTTTTCAAAAACGAAACATCGAGTGTCTCTGAGATTCTTTAAAATCTTGTCAAGAATAAAATATCAAGGATCCCAGATGCTTTAAACTTATTACAAAAATAATACACCAGATGTCCCTGAAATGCTTTAAGAATAAAACACACATATGGTGTCTCTGAGATTCTTTCAAATTCTTTCGAATTCACCAGACGTCCGATTCTTCATAAATCATTCAAAGATAAAACATCAGATTCTTCCGAAATTCTTTAAAATTCTTTCAAAAACAAAATATTAATTGCCTCTGCGATTCCTTTAAAATCCGTTCAAAAATAAAATAAAATACCGAATGTTTCTGATATTCTTTAAAAATAAAGAAAAATGCATATAGTACCCCTGAGACTCTTTAAAATTCTTTCAAAAACAAAACATCGACTGTTCCTGAGATTGTTTCAAAAAAATGAAAAATCAAAAATTGAAAAAACAAAAAACTGAAAAATTGGGAAATTGAAAGCTGTCAAAAATTAAATAGAAAAAAAATTGGTAAATCAAAAAACTGAAAAATCAAAACATCGAGATATAAAAATAAAAAAAAATGAACAGATTTAAATTTAAAAAAAAAATCGATAAATCAAGAAACCGTAAAATCTAAAACCGAGAAGAAGAATAACTGAAAAATAAAAAAAAAAAACGAGAAATCGAGAAATAGCAACATTCAAAATTTAAAAAATCGAAAAACCGAAAAATCGAGAAATTAAAAAATTCCAAATCTGAAATGTTGAAAAACTGGGAAATGAAAAAACTGCAAGATCGGAACACAGAAAAACCGAAAATTCGAAAAGTCAAAAAATCTAGAAACCAAAAATCGAAAAATCGAAAAATTTTAAAATCCCCAAAATTAAAATGTTGAAAACTGGAGATCGAAAAATCTAAAAATGGAAAAACTAAAACATCGAGAAATCGAGAGGTCGAAAAATCGAAAAATCTAGATCGAATTAGTATAAAATCGAAAATTAAAAATCGAATAATTGAAAAATCGAGAAATTGGACAATCGAAAAATAGAGAAATCGAAACACCAAAAATTTGACAAATCTAAACTTCAAAAATTCAAAGAATTGAAAAATTGAAAAATCGAAGAAGTAAAAAATCGGGAAATCGGGAAATCCAGAAATCAAAAATTGAGGAATTGAAATATCGAAGAATTCCAAATATGAAGTATCGAAAAATTGAAGAATCAAAAAACTGAATGTTCCTGAAACTGAAATATCGAAAATCGAAAAATTGAAGAATCGAAATATCGAAAAATTCTAAAACTGAAGTGTCGAAAAATTAAGTAATCGAAACAAAAACGACAAATAAAAAATTGAAAACTTGGAAAACTGAAAAATCGAAGAAAAATTGAATAATCGAAAAATTGAAGAACTCAAAAATCATAAATTTTAGAAATCAAAAAAGGAAAAAAACCGTAAAATATAAAACCGAGAAGTCGAAAAATTGAAATAGAGAAATCGAAACATCAAAAAAGTGAAAAATCTAAACTATGAAAATTCAAAGAATTAAAAATTGAAAAACAGAAGAAGTGGAAAATCGAAAAATCTAAGATTTAAAAAATTAAAAAAATAAAATGTCGGACATTTGAAAAATCGAGAAGTTGAAGACCGAAACATTGGGAAATCCAAACAGCATTAAATCGAAAAATCAAAAACAGAAAAGAAGAATAACTGAAAAATCAAAAAATGAGAAATTGAGAAATCGCAAAATCCAAAATTTAAAAAATCGTAAAACTGAATAATCGAAAAACTGAAAAATCGAGAAGTTGAAAAATCCCAAACATGAAATGTTGACAAATTGGGAAATCAAAAAATTGAAAATCTAATCGAAAAATTAAAAATTCGAAAAATTGAAACATCTACAATTTGAAAAATGCCTAAAACTGAAATGTTGAAAAATCGGGAGATCGAAAAATCTAAAAATAGAAAAATTGAACTATCGAGAAATGGAGAAGTCGAAAAACCGAAAAATCAAATTAGTATAAAATCGAAAAATTAAAAATCGAATAATTGAAAAATCAAATAAGTAGTTGACAAATTGAGAAACTGAACAATAAAAAAATTGAAACACTGAAATTTCGATTGATCCACAAATCAAAAAATTTTAAAATCAAAAAATTGAACAATCGAAAGACTGGAAATTTTAAAAAACAAAAAAAGGAAAAAACTGTAAGATATAAAACCCAGAGATCAAAAAATCGAAAGATATATTTAGAAATCGAAACAACAAAAAGTTGAAAAACTTAAACTTTAAGAATTCAAAGAACTGAAAAATTGAAAAATTGAGTAATCGAAAATTCCGAAATTTAAAGAAGTATCGAAAAAATAAGTAATCGAAAAAAAATCGAGAAATACAAAAAGAAAATTTAAATTAAATCGGATAATTGGAAAATTTAAAATTCGAAAAATTTAAAAATTGAAAAACTGAACACTCGAAAAATTGGGACGTCGAGAAATCGAAACATCTAAGTGTCGAAATGCCAAAAAATCGATTAATCGGGAACACGAAAAAACAGGGTAAAATTGAATCACCGGAAAATTGAGAAATAAAAAATAAAAAAAATAAATCGAAACACTGGAAAATCTAACAATTAAAGAATCCCAAACTGAAAAAAAATTGAAAAATTGAAAAACTGAATAATCGAAAAATTGCAGAGTCGAAACATTGAAAAATCGAAAAACCGAAAATCAAACATCTAAAATTTAAAAATTGAAAAATCAAAATTTCGAAAGATTGAAAAATCCACAAATGGAAAAATTCCTAAACCTAGGAATGTTGAAAATTCGAGAAATCGAAAAATTGAAACATCAAGAAATCGAAAAATCGAGAAATCAAAATAGCATAAAATCGAAAATCATTGAAAAATGTGGAAATTGAACAATCGAAAATTTGAAACATCGAAATTTCCCTTAATTCAGAAATTGAAAATTTTAAAAACCCAAAAATAGAAAAACAGCAAAATTTCAAATCGAAAAGTCGAAAAAGATCGAAGAACTGAAAAATCAAAAATTTTAAACGTCGAAAACCTGTAAATTCGAGAAATTGAACCATCAAAAATTGAGAAATTGAAATATTGGAAAATTCCAAATCTGATGTATGGAAAAACTGTACTTATTATCGAAAAATCGAAAATTAAAAATTGAAAACAAATCCAGAAACTAAAAAAGCTTGCGCTCGAGAAGTAAAAATCGAAAAATTGAAGAATTAAAAACTAAAAATTCCTGAAACTGAAAAATCTATTGAAAAATTATAAAACTGAATTATCGAATTCCACTGAAACACCGGAAAATAGAGAAACAAAAATAAAAAATCGAGAAACGAAAATTTGAAAAAAATCTAGCAATTGAAAAACCGAAAAAAAACGTGTAATCGCGAATTACAAAATTTAAAAACCCGAAAAAATGAAACATAAAAAAATTGAATCGAAAAGCTGGAAAAGCGAGAAATTAAAAAATTCCAAACTGAAATAAAATTGGAAAATCGAAAAACTAAACAATCGAAAAATTGCAGAATCGCAACACTGAAAAATCGAGAAATCGAAAAATCGAAAAGCTGAAAAATTGAAAAATCGTGGAATAAAAAATTGAAAAATTGAAAAACTGGACAAACGAGGAACAACCAAAAGATTGAGAAATCGAAAAGTCAAAAAATCGAAAATTTAAAATGATCGGATAACTGAAAAGTGCAGAAATCGGGATGTCGAGAAATCCAAACATCTAAATGTCGAAATGTCAAAAAATCGGAGAATTGAAAAATCGAAATATTGAAAAACTCTGAAACTCAAAAAACTAAGTAAAAAAAAAATCGAGACATAGGAAGTGGAAAATTGGAAAATTGAAAAAAAATGAAGGAATCGAAAAATTGATCGAACGAGAAATCTAAAAGTCGAAAAATCAAAAATTTAAAATAAATCGAATAACTGAAGAATAAAGAAATCCAAAAACTGAAAAACTGAAAAATCTAAAAATCTGGACGTTGAGAAAATGAAATATTTAATGTCGAAATGTCAAAAAACCTAGACATGCAAAAAGTTGAAAAATCGATTAATCGATAACTCGACTTGAAAAAATCGATAAATGGTAAAACCGAAACACCAGAAAAATAAAATAAATCGAGAAATCGAAAATTAAAAAAAAATCGATCAATTGAACATTGGAAAAATTGAAAAATCGCAAAAATATACTAATACTATAAACAAAATCAAGATAGAATCATAAATCACAAGTACAGGACTATAATATAATTTTTTTGAAGAAAATAATCAGTACAACGTGTTGTATTTCTCGCGACTGACAGTTTTAGGTCACCTTTCGCCCTCGCGACACTTTTTCCACTAAATCCATACCCCAAAACCCGCCTCTGTTGATTTAACCCTCCGGCAACAGGTCCCAAAACCCCCTTTGTCGCCTAACTCACCCCAACCCGTCACCCTTTGTGTTTTCGAATAAAACAATCTCGAACAATATGTGGAAATGATAGGGCAAGTCTCTGGAAGTGGATATAGCGATTGTTGGCGTGTACCAGGCGCGACTTATTGCGGTTCTACATCAAGCTCCGGTGTTGGCAAAGCCCGACTATTCAGAGCTTTCCGTGCTCGACATTGATTGTGTATCTACACCTACAAATGACTGATAAGCATGAAGTTGGCAGGGGCGGCTAATTTTATTGCCGTTTAAGTGCGTTATGAGCGAACTGATAAAAATAGAGAACTGAAAAATAGGATCGGAGAGGTTTAACGGCCCATTAATTCTTCCCACCTTTTGTGCGATTCGATTATCTTGTTCTGGGTTTTTGCAGGCGGGGGTCCATAACCAGCAGTCGGCACGACCCATTACTAAAAGGGTTGCTGAACTGCCGTCGTTGCGATATGGGGCAATTGCGACGAAGACGACGAGTACAGGGCCGCTGAGGGTCAGTTTGAAGCACCACGACTCGGTGGTTTCCAGCAAGAGGCGGTCAGGGACGTATTCGAACAATTCGAACGAGAAGAACAACCGGTCGGTGAGTGATTTTGTTCGGAGTTGGCGCTGTCAAAAATGTGATATTTTGTTTAATACGTGAATATTTTAATTCTGAAGTAGAAAAATTTGAAAAATCAGAGGTGTTCCAGTTCCTTTCTGCTCACGAAAACATTGTCTATAGGTTTATGGAACGAATGTAAAAGAGCTTTTTATAAACTAAGAATCTCCTCTTCAGATAATGCAGAAAAAAAAACTGGGAAAAAATTTTTGGAAAAATTTCCAAATTTTACGAACCTGACATTATTTTTAGTCTAGCGAAGAAAATGTGGAAAATAAATTTTCCAAAAATTTTCAAAAAATGTTAAAATAGCCGCAATTCGATTCCAAAAATACTACTTGCTGATGAAAATTTTGAAATGACAAGTGAGAAAATATTTTTCAGAAATCTTCCAAAAAAAGTGTTAAAACTGACTCTATTAAAATCCTGAAAAATCGAGAGATCTTAAAATGGAAAAATTTTAAAAATCGAAAAACCGAGGTGTCAAGAAATCGATACATACATAAAAAAACCGTAAAACCGAATAATTGAAAAATCGAAACATCGAAAAACCGAAAATCCGACAATTAAAAAATCGAAAAACCCAGAAATCAAAAATCAAAAGATCGAGACATCGAGAAGTCGAAAATTCGAAAAATTGAGAAACCGAAACAGGCCAAAATTGAAAAATCGAAAAAGTTGAAAATTGAAAAATTTATTCGAGAAATCAAAAAATTTAAAAATTCGAAAAACTGAAATATTGAGAAATCGAACAATCCAAAGATAGAGAAATCGAAAAATCATGAAGTCGAAAAATCGAAAAAATGACAAACCGAAATATGCAAAAATCGAAAAACCAAAAAGTTAAAAGTTAAAAAATTGGAAAATCGAACAATCTAAAAGCAGAAAATAAAAAATTGAAAAGTTATAAATTGAAGAACTGATAACACAAGAAAGTGAACAATGAAAGAAAAACTGAAAAATCCCAAAACTGAAATATCCAAAAACTGAGAATCGAAAAAAACTGAAAAATTGAGAAATCGAATAATCAAAAAAATTAAGTAAAAAAATCGAAGAATTGAAGAACAGGAAAATCAAGAAATGGGAAAATCAGAATATCGATTAATTGAAAAATCGAAAAATTGAGATATATAAAAGTCAAATTTGAAAAACTGAAAAATCAAAAACTTGAAAAAAAAAACTGAAAAATTTTAATAATGTAAAATTAAATTATCAAAAAATCGAAAAACCTAAAATTTAAAAATCGGAAAGGTAAAAAAATTGAAAAATGGAAAAATCCAGAAGTCAAAAATCGAAAAGTCGAAGAATCGAAAATTGAAAAATCCCAAAATTGAAACACCGAAAAACTGAAAAATGAAACAAAAACGGAAGAATGGAAAAACTGAAAAATCCAAAAACTTAAATATTCAAAAGCTGGGAATCTAAAAAACTGAAAAATTGAGAAATCAAAAAATCCAAAAAGTGAACTCAAAAAACTGAAACCTAAAAAAAATCGAAATATTTAAAAATCGTAGAATTGAAGAGGAGAAAATTTGAAAAAACGTAAAACAGAAACATCGCAAAATTGAAAATCGAGAAATTGTAAATTCGAAAAATTGAATAATGAAAGAAAAACTGATGAATGAAAAAACTGAAAAATCTCAAAACTGAAATATTTAAAAACTGAAAAATTAAAAAATTGAAAAATCGGATAATTGAAAATTCGAAACATCGAAAAACTAGAAAATGAAACAAAAACGGAAGAATGGAAAAACTGAAAAATCCAAAAACTTAAATATTCAAAAACTGGGAATCTAAAAAACTGAAAAATTGAGAAATCGAAAAATCCAAAAAGTGAAGTCGAAAAACTGAAACCTAAAAAAAATCGAAATATTTAAAAATCGTAGAATTGAAGAGGAGAAAAACTGAAAAAACGTCAAACAGAAACATCGCAAAATTGAAAATCGAGAAATTGAAAAATTGAGAAATAGTAAAATCGAAAAATTGAATAATGAAAGAAAAACTGATGAATAGAAAAACTGAAAAATCTCAAAACTGAAATATTTAAAAACTGAGAAACTAAAAAATTGAAAAATCGGATAAATGAAAATTCGAAACATCGAAAAACTGGAAAATAAAAAACCGAAAATTCGAAAAGTAAAAATCGAAAAACCAAAAAATCAAAATCAAAAGATTGAGAAGTCGAAAAATCGAAAAATTGAGAAAGCGAAATAGGCTAAAACCGAAAAATCGAAAAAAGTTGAAAAAGTAAAAGTTCGAAAAATTGAAAAATTGAAATATTGAGAAATTGAAAAATCCGAAGGTCGAGAATTAAAAATCATGAACTCGAAAAATCGAAAAATTGAGAAACCGAAATAGGTCAAATTCCAAAAATCGAAAAGTTAAAAGTTAAAATTGGAAAATCGAAAAATGCAAAAGCAGAAAATAAAAAAAAACGAGAAAACGGAAAATTGGAAAAAGTGAGAAACCGAAATAGACCAAAATAAAAAATCGAAAAGTATAAATTGAAGAACTGATAAATCGAGAAACTAAACAATGAAAGAAAAACTGAAAAATGCAAAAACTGAAAAATTCCAAAACTGAAATATCCAAAAACTGAAAATCTAAAAAAACTGAAAAATTGAGAAACCGAATAGTCAAAAAAGTGAAGTCGAAAAATCGAAGAATTCGATTCGAAGAACTGGGAAATCAAAACACACGAAATTCAAGAAATGGAAAATCAAAACATCGATTAATTGAACAATCGAAGAATTGAGAGATGTGAAAGTCAAATTTGAAAAATTGAAAAATCGAAAATTTGAAAAAACGAAAAATTTAATAATCTAAAATTTTAACAATGGAAAATTGAAATATCAAAAAACTTAAAAATCTAAAATTTGAAAATCGAAAATTGAAAAATCGGAAAACTAAAAAATCGGTACATCGAAAAATCCAGAAGTCAAAAATCGAAAAGTCGAAGAATAGAAATATTGAAAAATCGAAAAATTAAAGAATTGAAAAACGGGAAAATCGAACCAGTCAAAAGTGAAGAACTGGAAAAATAGAAACATCGATTCATTGAAAAATTGAAATATTTAAAAATCGTACATTTGAAGAGGAGAAAAATTGGAAAAACGTAGAACAACAACATAGGGAAATTGAAAATCGACAAATTGAAAAACTGAAAAATTATAAAATCGAAAAATTGAATAATGAAAGAAAAACTGAAGAATTGAAAAACCGAAAAATCTCAAAACTGCAATATTTCAAAACTGAGAAATTAAAAATTGAAAAATTGAGAAATCAAAAAGTCAAAAAACTGAAAAAATTGACAAAAAATTGAAAAATCAAAAAACTAAAATTTCCTGAAACTGAGAAATCGTAAAACTAAAAAATGGAAGAAAAACTGAAGAATCGAAAAAGAATGAAAAATTGAAAAATCGAAAAATTGAAGAATCGAAATATTGAAAAATTCTAAAACTGATATATCGAAAAATTAAGTACTCCAAACAAAAACGAGAAATAAAAAATTGAAAAAAATCAAAAACTGAAAAATCGAAAAATTAAAGATCGAGAAATCGAAAAATTGAACAATCGAAAAATCTGGAATTTTAAAAAACAAAAAAGGAAAAACCGTAAAATATAAAACCGAGAAGTAGAGAAATCGAAAGATAGAGGAACCGAAACCTCAAAAAAATTGAAAAATGTAAACTATGAAAATTGAAAGAATTGAAAAATTGAAAAATCGAAAATCTGAAAATCGAAAAATCGAAACATCGAAAAATTGAAAATCTAAAATTTTAAAAATCGAAAAATTAAAATTTCGAAAACTCGAAAAATCAACAATTTAAAAATGCCCAAAATTGAAATGTTGAAAAATAGAAAAATTGAAACATCAAGAACTCGAGAAGTCGAAAAAGTGAAAAATCTAAAATTTGAAAAAACAAAAACTTGAAAAATCTAAAATTTTAAAAATGGGAAGTTAAAATATCAAAAAATTGAAAAATCGAAAATTTAAAAATCAAAAATTGAAAAATCGTAAAAGTAAAAAATCGAAGAATCGAAATACTGAACAATTCCAAAACTGAAAAATCCCAAAACTTAAATATTCAAAAACTGTGAATCTAAAAAACTGAAAAACTAAGAAATCCAAAAATCAAAAAAGTGAAGTCGACAAATTGAAATCTAAATAATTGAAAAATTAAAGAATTGGAAAACTGGAAAATCGAAACAGTCGAAAGTCATAAAATGGAAAATTCAAAACATCGATTAATTGAAAAATCGTAGAATTAAAGAGTAGAAAAATTGAAAAAACGTAAAACAGAAACATCGGAAAATTTAAAATCGAGAAATTCAAAAATTGAGAAATTGTAAAATTGAATAATGAAAGAAAAACTGAAAAATGTCAAAACTGAAATATCCAAAAACTGAGAAATTAAAAAACTGAAAAATTGAGAAATCAAAAAGTCAAAAAATTGATGTCACAAAATCGAAACCTTAAAAAATAGCAAAACTGAAAAATCAAAAACTTAAAAAATGAACAATTGAAGAAATAAAAAGTCGAAAAACTGAAAGTTTATCAAAGTCAAATTTGAAAAATTTAAAATAGAAATATCGAAGAGGAGAAAAATTGGAAAAACGTAAAATTGAAACATCGGAAAATTGAGAAGTCGAAAAATTGAAAATCGTGAAATTGGAAAACTGAGAAGTTGTAAAATCGAAAAATTGAATAATAAATAAACTGAAAAATCGTCCTAGAGTGCGAAGATCAAGTCAATTTTGCCATAATTCTTCAAAAAAAAAAGAAAACGAAAAAAATCGGAACAACAAATTCTCCAAAAAATGTTGAAGATTAAAAATAATTACCCTATAAAAAATCTTCTGTTTTTTTCCAAAAAATGCTAAATATAGTTTCATTTGGATTAAAAAAAGAACTATATCAAAGAGAATTTTTCGTGGAATATGAACCTTAAGTAATTTTGGTTAGAACTTTGTAATTTTCGAAAAAAGTGAGAAAACATTTTCCAAAAATTTTTCAAAAAATTGTCAAAATGAGCTAGATTGGAAAGAAAAGAGGGCTATCTCAGGGAAATTCTTCCACAAATCACGATTCAGAAGTCATTTTTGTCAAAATATTTAAAAAGCGGAACTTATTTTCCAAAAATCCTCAAAAAAAAAAGTTAAAACGGGCTCAACTAGGATGAAAAAATGACTACCTTGGAAAAACTTTTTTGTAGGTTACAAATTCAAGGTCCTTGTAGCCATACTTGATCAAATAATGGAAACAAAAATGATATTTAAAAAAAATATATTTATTTTACAGAAATTTTCCAAAAAGTCTTAAACCTGGCGTTATTCAAAACCAAGTAATTTTTATTCTACCCCTTCAGATAGACAAGAAAAACAGAAAAATGTCTAAAAATAAAAAAAAATCGGGACAATTTTTTTGAATTTTGGAAAGAAATGAGAAAGTATTTTCCAAAAACGTTTCAAAGAAATCTCAAAATGATTATAAAAATTTCCAAAAAAAAGTGAAATATGGTTTCTTTCGAATGGAAGAGAAGACTATCTTCGTAGATTATGAATCTTAAGTAATTTTTGATATAGTTTTTTGAATTTCCGAAAAAATGAGACAACTTTACCGAAAATGTTTCCAAAAAGTCTCAGAATGGGCTAAATTGGAAAGAAAAACAGGCTAGTTTAGAGAAAACTTCCTAGATTGAGAATATCAAGTCACTTTTGCCATAGTTCTTCAAAAAAAAAAATAAGTATCTTAAGTATTTGTTGTTGTAGCTTTTTGAATTACACCCGAAAAAACCAGCAAAGAATTTTTCAAAAATATTTCAAAAAAAGCTCTAAATAGCAAAAATGGGGGAGAAAAAAGGGCTAGCTTACAGAGAATCTTTGTAGAAAGCGAAATCTTTTTTGTCGCACCTTTTCAAAAAAACCGAAAAAAATCTTAACATATTTTCTGCAAATTTTCCAAAAAAATGTTAAAACGACTTCAATCAGAATGAAAATAACCACCTTCAAAAAATCTTTTGTAAATTACGAGCCATTTTTGCCATAGCTCTTCTAATAAGAAAAAAACTGTGAACATATTTTCCGAAAATTTTCAAAAAAAATAAAAAATAAAAAAAAAGGATTCGACTGGAACCAAGAAAACTAATACCTTATAAATAAACTTCTGTAGATTACTAAATACCTTTACATCAAAGCTGTTCAATCAAATAGCTGAAAATTTGGGATGTTTTAAATAATTTTTCTAAAAAAACTTAAGATTTGATTTGATATTTTTCCTACGTAATTATAAAAATTAAAGCCATTTTACCAAATAGGGCACTAAAACGAGACAAAACCGTAAAAATTTTAGAATAAATGAAGCCGATAATTTTCCAAGGTGGTCGAAAATTTCGGTAATTAATACAAATTATTATCGTCTAACTGTTCATCGTTTCCTGCAGACCCGCCGCGTGCGCTTCACCCTCCCCGCCCCAGATGGCGCCACCCACTCCGACGACGACGTCGGCGGTGGCGTCGCCTCTCCAACGGCGGGAGACGGCTGGCTGCGAACACGCGCTCCGCCGTTCAGTAAGCGCTCAGATGCACATCGTTCAGCAACAAGTGACGATCAGCGTCGCGCCGCCGTCGACTACACGATAGTTACGAGCGTCCCGGTGGCGGTATCGCCCGGAACCAGGAACAGAGTCCATCCCACGGGAAGGTACATCAGGGGCACGCTGTCTCCGACGGCCAACGCTTCGCCGCACGCCGCCGCCTCCTCGCCTGGTGGACAGGCGCTGCTGAGGGCGGCGCGCGATGGGGACGACCACGTGCTGCGGGACCTGCTGCGGAGGGCGGCGCTGGTGGGGATCGCCGAGAGTGATTTGAATGCCGTGGACTGCAGCGGAAGGGTGAGTTTGGCAGGCAAAAAATCAAACGAAACGAATGTAACTTTTTCGGGTATTAAATAATGAATAAGTTCGGGGGTGGAGTGGTTGGTTAAAAAAAATTAACGCGTGTCGCGGGCACGTGAAAAATGGAAAGTTTTTCTGATAAAAAAGAACAATGAAAAAGCGTTGTATTAAGTACAAATACCGAAAATACAAAAAAAAACTTTCTCGAAGTTCTGGAATTTTACCATTCTTGATTAATTTTTTTCTTAACCAAAAATGGCAGACCAATTTCTCTTATATCAAAATTTTCAAAAGTATTTAAATTAGTACTCTCATATTAAGTGTCTTTGTAGCGACTACGTTTGAAATTACGTGTCATGATTCCTAAAAAGGACCCCACTTATTTTTTAATTCAGCATTCATTCTCTGAATAATTATGTAAACTAATATCACCTTATCTACCTCATACACTTGAGATTAATATATTGCCTATAAAAATTCAGTCAGGCGCCTATTAACTGGTTCCTGGAGTCCAACAGGGTTCAAGTCTAGGCCTGTATTTCTTTTTACAATTTGTTACTGATGTCTATGATATTTAAGGCCCTAATAAACAGCTATTAAAACTTTATGGTCAACGCACTATCATCTAACATTGCTAAGAATCATATCGATTAAACCAGCTTTCAAAGAAAAACAAAACATATTGAAATCGGTTCATCCGTTTGGAAGCTACGGTGCAACAGGCAGAAACACAGACATAGCTGATGAACTTGAAAGGACTGAAGTAAGGCGAAGCTGTACGTTACGAGTGGACCCGAGGCGCAACCGAGAGTTAAAAATATCAACAGTAATCACAATTATAAGTTCTAACTTTATTAGAACAAATACCCTTTTGACCTTTTCGATTTTTCTAAAATTTTCCACTGTTTCATATTCTAAGAGTTATATATTTTTTTAAATTTAGTGATAAAGATAAAATTTGTTATTTTATAAAACTTTAAATGTATTTTAATTAATTTTCATTTTTCCAATATTGTTGGATTTTTTTTTGAAGATTCATCAAGTTATTCGTGTAATTTGAAAGTACAAACTCAAGGTCGCATAAATGATTGGAATTTTTGAAAACATCAAAAATTTTTGAGGTTATAGAAAATCTATTTTTTTTATAATAAAGGACAGTTTTTTAACAATAAAAACGACAACAAATCTTACAAATCTAAAATTTCGTGTAATAAAATGTTGTAAGTATGAACATCAGAAAAAAAAAAGAAAAAATAATAATAATACATCAGAACCCAAGCTATTACAGAAAACGAAAAATTGGAACGTGGCATATTTTGTCTGATAATCTGTATAAAATAATTGTGATTGAAAGTTAAGGCGGATTCATAAACCACAAGTACAGGAGTATATTGTTTTATAAAATTTAAAAAATATACAATTTTGAGGTGGCATCTTTAAAATGTTGGCGATGATTAGACAAATTTTGGTTAGTGTTTTACCGTCTACAGTAGTTTCGGCGATTATCTGTCCAATTAAAATCGATACAGACAGCAAATGGAAGACAGACAGACAGACAGACAGACAGACAGACAGACAGACAGACAGACAGACAGACAGACAGACAGACAAACAGACAGACAGACATACGGAAACGGGAGATCTATTAAACCTTTAGGGGTTCAGAAAACATGAAACTTTACAGTAATTTCTTGGTTTATGCTCCGGAAGTAAAAATGGGTACACATCGTGAAAGTAGAAAAATCTGGATCAGAGAAATTGAAAAATGGCGAAGTCGAGAAATCTACAATTAAAAAAAAATCGAAAAATTGAAGAATCGAAGGAATGAAAAATCGAAAAATCGAAAACTTGAAAATTGCCAAAACTGGAAGATTGAAAAATTGAGAAATTTAGAAATCGAAAATTTGAAAAACCAAAAAATAGAAAAATTGGAAGATTGAAAAATCGAGAAATGGAAACAACAAAAAATCAAAATAAAATTTAAAAAATCGAAAAATTGAAAAATCAGACACCTGGTTAATCGAAAAATTGGTAAACCAAAAATTGAAAAAATAAAGAACTCAAAAATCGGAAAATCTGAAATTTAAAAAATGGAAAAATTGAAATATCGAATAACTGAAGAATCGAAAGTCGTAGTGAAAAATAGAGAAATCGAAAAATCAAAAAAATTAAATTCGAAAAATCCAAAATTTAAAAAATCTCAAAATTGTAACATCCCAAAATGGAAAATCGAGAAGTCTAAAAGTCGAAAAATAAAAAATTAAAAAAATCGATAATTGAAAAATCAAAAATCAGATAAATCGAAAAATTTAAACATTGGGAAATCGAAAAATTAAAAGATTGAAAAATCGAGAAATTGAAACAACAAAAAATCAAAATAAAATTTAAAACATCGAAATTTTAAAGAAATCAAAAACCATGAAATATCGAAAAATTGCAAAATCCATAAATCGAGAACTTGAAAATTACCAAAACTGGAAGATTGAAAAATTGAGAAAACAATTGAAAAATCAGACACCGGATTAATCGAAAAATTGAAAGATTGGAAAACCAAAAAATTGAAAAATTGAAAAACTCAAAAATTGGAAAATCTGAAATTTAAAATTTAGAAAAATTAAAGACTCGAAAGTCGTAATGAAAAATAGAGAAATCGAAAAATCAAAAAAATTAAATTCGAAATATCTTACATTAAAAAAAATCGAAATATTGGAAAATCTCAAACTAAAACATCGAAAAATGGAAAATCGAGAAGTTTAAAGGTCGAAAATCTGATAAATCGAAAAATGTTAACATTGGAAAATCGAAAAATTGAAGGATTGAAAAATTGAAAAACAAAGAAATCTAAAATCTAATAAATCGAAAAATTAAATTATGGAATAATTGAAGAATCGAAAGTTGTAGTGAAAAATAAAGAAATCGAAAAATCAAAAAAATTAAATTAAAAAAATCCAAAATTTAAAAAATCTCAAAATTGAAAGATCGCAAAATGGAAAATCGAGAAGTTTAAAAGTCGAAAATTTGAAAATTTAAAAAATCGAATAATTAAAAAATAAAAAATCTTATAAACCGAAATATTTAAACATTGGGAAATCGAAAAATTAAAACATTGAAAAATCGAGAAATTGAAACAACAAAAAATCAAAATAAAATTTAAAACATCCAAGATTGAAAAATTCAAAAACCATGAAATATCGAAAACTTGAAAAATCCATAAATAAAAATTGAGAAATTTAGAAATCGAAAAATTGAAAAACGGACACCTGATTAATCGAATAATTGAAAAATTGGAAAACCAAAAAATTGAAAAATTAAAGAACTCAAAAATCGGGAAATCTAAATTTAAAAAATTGGTCTAAAGAGTTTAGCCAGTACTTCCCTCGCTGTTGGAAACGTGACGACTGCATGCCTATTGTGTTTTTTTTTCGCAGTAGATTTCATATATTTTTTTTTGAGTTACCCGGTATATGCAAATTCAAAAAATATGAATGGAATGATAAATTACAAGTACAGACTCATCATATTTTGTATATTCTAGATAGGATTTATTCGGCAAACTTTTGAGCTGACGTCAACAAGTTTTTGGAGGGGATAACCAACTATATTCTGACTAAAGATTTATGATGCTCTTTATAACCTTAAAATATCTGCAAGATTTCAAAGCATTCGGTTTTGTAGTTCTTGATTAACTCAATAAAATATATTCACGCATTCATTAATTTTTTGGAGTCACCCTGTATATAGAAATCCAAAAAATATGAATGGAGTGATAGATCACAAGTACGGACTCATCATATTTTGTACATTTTAGATATGATTTATTCCACAAACTTTTGAGCTGACGTCATCAAGTTTTTGGAGGGGATAAGCAAATATTTTTTGAGTAAAGATTTATGATGCTCTTTATAGCCTTAAAACATCTGCAAGATTTCAGAGCATTCAGTTTTGTAGTTCCTGATTAAATCAATAAAATATATTTACGCATTCATTAATTTTTTTGAGTCACCCTGTATATGCAAATCCAAAAAATATGAATGGAGTGATAGATCACAAGTACAGACTCATCATATTTTGTACATTTTAGATATGATTTATTCCACGAACTTTTAAGCTGACGTCATCAAGTTTTTGGAGGGGATAAGTAAATATTTTTTGACTAAAGATTTATGATGCTCTTTATAGCCTTAAAACATCTGCAACATTTCAAAGCATTCTGGTTAGCAGATTAAAAATTAAATTTCAAAATATTGTTTTATAATTTTGATTTTTTTTCCAAAAATCTGGACGTTTCGGGTGAAAAGTCGATTCAGAGTTGTAAACTACATGTGTAGGACTATGTTATTTTATACAATTGAAAACCCATTTACTATGTACAATTTTGAAGTGACGTCATCGCATTAGTGGTGGGGATGATTAGACAAATTTTGGTTAGCGTTTTACCATCTACATGATATTCTTAATATAAGTACAAAATTTCACAACAATCGGTCGAGTACTTTCGGAGATTATCTGTCTAATAAAAATCCGGGACAACAGACGGACAGACGGACAGACGGACGGACAGACGGACAGACGGACAGACGGACGGACAGACGGACAGACGGACAGACAGACGGAAATGGGAGACCTATTTCTTCGTCTTCTAGGGGTCATGAAAGATCGAGAAAACGTAAAAGTAGAGAGTCGACCGACGGACTCGATTACAATACTTCCTTTGCTTACGCTCGGGAAGTAAAAATGGAAAAATTAAAATTTAGAAAAATTAAAAACTCGAAAGTCGTCATGAAAAATAGAGAAATCGAAAAATCAAAAAAATTAAATTCGAAATATCTTAAATTAAAAAAAAATCCAAATATTGGAAAATCTCAAAACTGAAACATCGAAAAATGGAAAATCGAGAAGTTTAAAGGTCGAAAATCTGATATATCGAAAAATTTAAGGATTGAAAAATTGAAAAATAAAGAAATATAAAATTTAATAAATTGAAAAATTAAAATATT